GTGTATTTCAGCCTGTGTGTGTAAGAATAAAAGAGTGAAAAGAAGAATTTAATAAAGTATATATCTTCTTCTTCTTATATACGCATGTGGGTTTGGTGGACATTTATCTTGAATACAAATAGGCCATACAGTATTAATGCAACATCATTTATAGGTCTTTAAGATGAATGGTTTGTAAAAACAAGCGGTCGCTTATTCAGGCAAAACTACAGTAGGCCTTTCTAATTTAATTTGAGGTCTTCCTAAAAAGTAGAGGACATAATTGGTGGAGTGTTGTAACAAAGCAGGCTATTCATTTAATTGGTAATTTACTCTCTGCTTCAGTCTCACTAAGCAGTGAGCTGCTGTGGTGTTTGGCTGGAAGGTAAACCTACATACTTTCATCCCACTTGATACAACACATGATGTATCCTCTGCGGCCCTTCACAAACATATGCTGGCCAAATAATATACATGGCCTAATTAGCGTACAGTCCCTGGGCTCACCCCAGACCTCTGGGACTAGAACTGCGATAAAAGGCTTTAAAGATAAATTTGGCTTGACATGGAACAGGCTGTGGTAACAAGGCCACTGAATTAGCCTCCTCAACTCAGTTAAATTGTAAGGCTGGTGCCCTCATAATGTTTTGGATCATAATTGTGTGAAATATGACAAATGCAGTATGCAGCTAACATAGCTTTTCAGAGCTAGCAGAGGCCTGATTTATCAGTCTTCACAAAAAAAAAAACAGTTAAGTTACAAATATAGATTGTTCAGCATGCTCTCAAACCATCAGTTATTTTTTTACCTAACCTTTTTCTCTTCTATCGTCTCCCTCTTGCACACACACAGGCTTCACATATTATTAGGTGCACTAGTCCCTGGAAAACTCTATTTTGTACTGAGCGGATTATCTCGGAACAGATCTAAACTGAACACTCACAAACCAAACATGTGCACACACATACACATACACACAAAATGCCCACGTTAGCTATAACAGCCCCACCCTCCCTGCATCATGTGTGAACCAGATTTGTCCTTTCCTGACAGAACTGAAATCAGTGTTATGGCTGCATCCACAAAAAGTCTCTTCCTAATGTGTCCTGTTGCTTGCTTGACCTGTTCAAAGCTTTTGTATCACTGCATGTGTCCCCCCCCCCCCCCCC